GTCCACCTCTCATCAGTAAGAGATGACTGGATGTGAGACTCGTCCACCTCTCATTAGTGAAGAGATGATTGGATATGAGACTCGTCCACCTCTCATTAGTGCAGCGATGATTGGGTATGAGGCTGATCCACCTCTCATGAGTGAAGAGATGATAGGATATGAGGCTGGTCCACCTCACATGAGTGAAGAGATGATAGGATATGAGGCTGATCCTCCTCTCATCCGTGAAGCGATAATTGGATATGAGGCTCGTCCACCTCTCATCAGTGAAGCAATGGCTGGATATGAGGCTCACACCACAATCCAAGCCAATCTGCAGCAAAATCCTCAGCAGCAAAGCGAGTTCTAAAACTAGAATCCAAGACAATCTGGAGCAGGGCCCTCAGCAGCAAAGCGAGTTCTATAACTACAATCCAAACCAATCTAGAGCAAGGCCCTCAACAGCAAGCGAATTCTAAAACTACAATCCAATCTGTAACAAGGTCCTCAGTAGCAAAGCGAGTTCTATAACTACAATCCAAACCAATCTAGAGCAAGGCCCTCAACAGCAAAGCGAATTCTAAAACTACAATCCAATCTGGAGCAAGGCCCTCAGCAGCAAAGTGGGGGTTAAGGTTAACAAAGAGGTTAGTCTTACCTAAAAGATATTGCGATCATCCGATTCAGTTATCAAGTAAGTACGCAAGTATTCAAAATTGACGAAAGCTCACGAGCTTTTAGCCACACATCGAAATCATTAACCATTTCACGAGAAAGATGGTTTAGAAATCTGGAATCATAGAAAGTCCGTCACAGAACCTATTAGATCCATGAAGAAGCTCATGTGAACTTTTGTGCTTTTGGTCTGCTTAAATATGTCCTAAAACTGACCTCGCCATTGTTGTTAAAATAGAAAATGGTGGTTTCGGATAATCAAGACACGTGTGTAGTGTGTCGTGTGGCCAAAACAACTTGATGCAGAACACACTGTATTATAAACAGGAGTGATAGTTTAGCAATTTCCAACCTTCTGTAGCTCGGACTGTGGTGGTCCAAACTATCCCATATATTCATTGAATGTGCTCTACTGGACTCTTACTTCAAATTTCAAGGCAATCCATTAAGAAATCCACCTGACATATAACATTGAGTTTCTTTTTATTTTTTTTTCTTCGCACCCAAAGTATGGAAACTTTAAAATCATAAATAATATTCAACGTTTATTTATGATTTTAACTTTATACACAAGTGCCAAAATACTGTAATTACGGAAACTTTATTTGACAGAAAAACATACAAAACTTTTATGGATTGTTTTTCAAGTTTGGTACACTGATAGATCTTTACAACCTACAATTAAGAGTCTATTTTGGTGTAAATATAAGCCAGATGCGCAAAGTTATTCAACAAAAACAGCTCAAATTTGACAAAAAAATTTGCACCCGCCTACGAAAAAGTCTAACATTTTTACTCAGCTTCACCTAAGAGTAAAAGTGGACCGTTCTTAGTTTTTTATCATTCTGATTAAAAACGGCTGATTTAGAGCAG